TTACAAAGTGTTCCATTTGAGATTCAGTTAGATTTTCTGCATTACTTTCTAAGCTTCCAGGAGGTCCTGGAGCTTGAAAGCCGTTCTGATTAGGCTTTGGCATATTTAAACCACAGAGATCGTATTTACGTTTTACCAGGAGCTATGTTAACTCGGCCACAGTCAGAGTCAGACTCCCGTCTCCGTGTTATGACTCCACCGCACCCAACAGGTGGATTCAAATTACCCTACATATTTAAACGTATGTGTGAAATTACCCTAAATCTTCACGCACGTATAGAATTACACTAATCTCTATCCTTTTATACAGGAAATGGCGAACCAACGGGGATCGATTCCGAATAAATGAAAGAATTTATTTTATAAAGTTATCGTATAATTTTCACATTTTCCCATTTAAAGTGGTCTGCGAAGTTGATGTTAGCAGCAACTGACGACAAATAGGCATCAAAATCAAACAAAACAAAATATTCGCGAATATAACAATATCTTAGGCAATTTAAAAAGCAGCCTCTCATAGTTATAAAAATATAATTATTGTAACAAGTTCTTCATTATAAAGCAAAAACTCAGAATGGACAGATCTAGTAACAGTTTAGCCAAGCGTTACTAGCGGTATTCGTAAATCAGAGTGGGGTAATCCATCCCCTATGGTTATAAAGATTTTTTATACAGTACAAATACAGGTATCATTTGTAGATAATGCTAGTCGATACCACTAGCACGGTATCAAGGAATCGTGCTAGATTTTGATTAAGTTTTCGGTTTAGTAATTTCTAAGGCTACGGTTTTTAAATTACTTCCGGGTAGGTTCGTTGAGCATCCTGGTAAGCATCTTTGTCTGGGTTGAGAACAGTTGTTTTAGACTAGCAGTTTTATTGGATTTAACTGTAGCTGAGGCAGTCCTCTATGACGTGCAGTCTCATCAGGGGAACCAGGCAGTTCGTCAGCATAGCACATGACGGCGCTTTATTAGGTAGCTGAGGCGTTTGTGGCCAATCCTCAACATCCACAGAGCCTAGTCCACCTGTCGTGACCTTTAGATTTATCGTGATCTTTACATTGGTTTTGCAATAAGTTTCTGGATCACACATCTTATTACAGACTCAGCACTGCCAGTGACGGCTGGAGGCAGCAACATTAAACACGATCTTGGCGTTACACGGAGCTGCTTAACAATTCGTGCACTCAGCAGCGCCACGTAGTCCACTGAGTTCAAATTCAGTTCTGGAGCCTCAGTACCCGGCGTCGGCAATTCATCGCTCTCGTCAAAACGTCGCGATAAAAATGAATGACTTGATATTAGTATTTGTAGGACGTGATTCCTGACGCGGTCACTCAAGTCTCCACTTGTTGGCGGGGCTTCCAGGCTATTGAGACTCACTCGCACAAAACCGAGCAAGGTGCATGTTCCTGAAAATTCTGCGACAGGCAAAGACGCGATGGACTCGGTGAAGTATCCAACATCTGCATTCACCTGCTCCTGGAATACGTTCATACAACGATTCAAGACCCGCAACAATTGCATGTCTTCTTCTTCTCGTTCTGAAAAATAGCTCATTCGATGGTTCAAGATTTGCTCTCCGATATAAGCAACAAAAGCTTCTAGGTACATTCTTCTACACTTGACACTGAAATTATCAAGTTCTGATGTCGGGTTTGGCGAATGCAGCTGCTGGAGGGAGACCAAAGTCACACCCAGCAGGTACTGCGCCGTCAGATCCTGTGAGAGGAGGTCGGAGACGCGCTGAGCAGCACGTTGTAAATCAGTTGGGTTCTCCAGAGGGCCCAGGCCTCTCCAAAGCTCCTTTAGTGTCGGCAATACCACGTCGGGCATGAGTGTTCCGGATGCCCCCAGGCGTTCCTCGAATACCCACCTGACAGACGTCCAGTGGAACTGAGAGCAAGAGAACTAATTGAGAATTTTCGTTAGGCTTGGTTAACTGAAGATATTAATTGACAACGTCAAATGGTCTCGCATGATTCCTCACGTGACAAGTTACGCGTTATTAACATAAAGAAATTGAAATATTTTCAACGAAAATGATAATTATAAAATGTAGGTTTCATACACTGGCATTTAATCAGTTTTGATCCACTAGTTGCCAACTACCCTTTCATATTCCTGCCACCACAAACTTTAAGTTTGGTCTTCTAGTGATGAATAAATATTGATTATTAATGCAAAATTATTTATTTATGTTCAATTATTAAGCTTTACTAGAATAGAGCTGAGCAGGTCTTACCGCAACGGAATCCCAGAGGTGCTGTAGTGCGCAGTCGTCAAGGACGGGCGTCTGAGGGCGCACCAGCAGCAGAGCGCCCACCAGGCAGCTCGTCTCCTCCGCCGTCAGGTGGATGCTGGGGGAGGTCTTCTGTAGAGGTGAGGGTGAGAACATCAGTGACCGTCATGATGGTTATTGGGGTTTATAAGAAAAACAAAAATAATTTGCCAAACAACGATGAGCAGAGAGCAAACCAGACGCTCAGCATTCGGAAGCATGATGGATCCATTTCATATGCAATGCCGTTTATCCCTCTACTATTAGTTATTATTTAATGTTGTTCACGATATAAAACTCTTGCAATATTTAGATTGGTTTAGTTATTCGGAAGCATGATGGATCCCTTCTCATATGCAATGCCGTTTAGCTCTTTACTAACAGTTATTATTTAATCTTATTTACGATATAAATCTCTTGGAATATTTTAAAACGAGACGCCTGCTCACGTGCAACAACACAATTTACCGCCCCCCACACCAGACCTTCAGCGACAATAGCAGCGGCAGCAGCAGACGCATCGCCTCTTCCCCCGTCAGCCCCCCCACCACCACCGCAGGGGGAAGCTCCACCATCAACCTTATCAACATTACTGTGGCATCAGCACGCAAAATAATCAACATATCCGAACTCTCAACACAGTCTAAAGTCTCTTTACAGCTCTTAAACTTTCCTTACAATCCTTAAGCTCGCCTTAACCATCCTTTCACTCTCTTTACAATCATTAGGCTCTTATTACAACCCTTAAGCTCGCCTTAACCATCCTTAGACTCTCTTTACGCTCATTAAGCTCTTATTACAAGGCTTTATACTCACCGTGTAACCATTAAATTCTTCTTAAAACCCATAAACTTTCCTCACTATTCACACCTCCCTCGTCCAACACCCCCCATTAGGCCCCCTACTCTAACCCCTACACAATACCTGAAGACGGCGTCGGGAGTGAGGGCGGCACGGCGTAACCGTTCCAGCAGCGACTCCTGCAGCGGTGACGACAGGCGCGCTGCGTATCGCTGCACCACCTGCAGCAAGCACCACCGCGCCTCCTGCAACAAAGATACTACCTGCAGCACGCACCAACGCCCTCGCTAAGAGACTAATTTCGACGATGGTTATTTCGCTAGCAACAAATTTCGAGAACAGAACGAACCTGTTGCAGGTCAGGATTTTCGACCAGTACGTCAAGAGCAGCACTCAACATCGCACGTCCGTCGGCGGCGGGGAACCGCCGTGCACTGAGCTGCAGCAGCGACTGGCTGCTCACCACAGCTGTGGTATCACCGGCGCCTCGCAGCTCGAACTGCAGCCACTCACGCAAACTCGGCTAAAAAACGAGTCGTTATACATCAAATTAAGTGACAAACTTGGCAAAAACTTGTGACAAGTTAAGACGTAAGAACTAAAATAATTATAACCAATTGTGGACGGGAAATTATGATATTGTTTATTCAATAGAGATAACCAAGGTCAGATTGTGAAACTGCATATAATATATTTGTTACAAGACTGACGGAAAAGCAGATAAAAACAATTAATATCGTTTTTTGAAACTCATAAATCAAAGATCCCACTCCAATGTATCTAAACTCTTCTCGGAAATATCTGATATCGAGAACTACGAACACGATAACCCATCGGAAAAAGAACAAAAATTGCAGGACAATCTTGGCCCCTCACAGAAGCAGCAGCGAACTTTGAACTTTGAAGAAGGCGCAGGTCATCACTGAGCGCGTCTGGCAGCGGCAGCTCAGCTAACCGCCACACCACGCACCGGTAGAGGGCGCACACATCGTCATCGCCACTGGTGGTCACGTCAATAGTTGTTCTACTGACGTCACTTGATTTGGAATTAACTTTAATAAACCTGGGGGCGGCTTTCCCAGCCCCGCTAAAATCGCATGTTGTTGTCTCGGAGGAGGAGCAAACTTGTCGCCATGACAACCATCCGTTCAAGAGCCTGTGAAGCAATTGAAGGTTTTAGTCGAGCCTCCAGATTGAAATAATACAAGAGACGAGGAGCGAGGTAACATCGGCACAGTAAAACCTTCAGTAAAACTTCCTGTGTGACTTTTTTAAGGCATTGATATATGGAGGAAATATTTTCAGGTATAAATAATTAACACTTCAAGTCAAAAATTTCATTAGTGGGCTTTTCGAAACTTACGACTAGTCAAGAACAGACAAGATGTAAAACATGAGAAATTTCGACATTGCATATCATTTCGCGGAGTGCTCTAACTGCTTATTATAGAGATAATTTACCATCATTAAATCATTGAAGATATAGAACCGTCTCCGACAATTGATTTCCTATGGAGCCTGTCACTCAAAGGTGATCTCCGTAGAATTTTTGTCAATGTAGCTCCTGGAGATTTAGTAACACAGAGACAGAGAGAGACTACACACAGAGACTACAGAGTTCTCCTGACATCACCCACGGTATGAACTAAAACACAGAAGCCGTACCATGTATGCAAAACCTATGATGATACCTTCTCATTGACAATGGTTCTGAATGATTGGTTCTCACCAGGCGGCAGCCCAGCAGGAGGCGGGGCTGCGCGGCGCGAGGCAGTGCAGCCACAGCTGCGGTAGGGGAAGGAGTGCGCCGCTCCTGCGTGCGCTCAAAAACAAGCCGTCGAGCAGCAGCACTTCGTACAGCACAGCCCCCAGCAGCAGCAGCTGCCGCACTGACAACTTCGTAGACTCGTCACTTGCCCCGACAGACGAGTCGGGCTCTGAACACCGTCAGGATTGAGAAAAATATTTCAAATATATACATATAATATACCAGAGTACAAGTTCTAGGATAAATATCAACATAGTCTATGACTAGGCATTCATCTTTTCAAGATTATAAAAACTAAATGAAGAGTGTAGAGCTCGGGCCATCAATAAACCTTCGGTTTGGTTGCATTTTTAATGCAACCAATTTCTTTATATTAACTAATAAATTTATGACGGATAGAGAGCAAATATCGTGAATAACAAATCCCAACTATTTTTTAAGGAATATATAACAAAAAAATTGTTGAGACCACGAAACAACACGATCTCCCTCACAACATGACTCCCTCACAACATGACTCCCTATGACTCCCTCACAACATGACTCTCTCACAACATGACTCCCTCACAACAAATATCCTACAAGAAACATTATCCTACAATAATTATTATCCTAATGCACCATCAGCCCTCGTTACCAGCGACAGACATCAGCGCCTTCGTCAGGAGCGCTTGCTGGAGCGCGGGCGTCGTCCCAAGCAGCGCCACCAGCTGGGGCAGCCACGGGGGGCGCCGCCCCAGCGCTGGACGGGCGTCTTCCCGGCGCCCGTGGACGCCATGGACGTCGCCCACGGGCTCCTCCAGCACGAGGTGTCCAACACAGTCCAAGATGTCGTCAAGCACCTGCAATTGCACATAAAATCCGCTAATAAAATATAACTAATATAAAATAATAAAATTGAAATATGGTACATTTTAATGCAAAATCAAGCCCGCCATCAATGACATTTTAACAACATTAAAAATATGAACAAATTATCTACTTTTAACAATCTAGAGCAAGAATATTTTTCTACTTATCGATGTCGTACGCTGTTTGTATAAGGCATGAGACAAGACTTGAGAAGTACTAGGTACCCACTTGCCCTACTAAATACCAACTAGTATCCAACTACCCTATTAGTTCCCAAGTAATCTGATAGTATCCTACTAGCATCCACCTCACCTTCAGGGGAGGGTGGTCGGTGTAACGTGGGTGATGGGTTAAGGAATGGAGAAGAGTAACTCTTTAGTTCGGTAACACATAACCTTGTAACAAACCGGTGGCGAGTATTGAAGACTTTGAACGACGTAACACTTAACACATCTATTATTATCACAACAAATCTTTCAGCGTTGTGACACACTTCTGAGTGTGGTGACATCCCTATAACATGCGTGATGCCCTTGTAAGCCGACACACCGGTCAGTGACGTAACACATCTACGAGCATCGCGACTCGCCTGTAAGGAGAGCGGGCAGGTCTGCAGCGGGTCGTCAGCGCAAAGGGCGCCGCCCTGTTCACAGAGGGCGGCATCGGGACGAAGAAGAGCTTCCACAGCACCCCCCGCATCACAAAGGGCGCTCCGGATCTCCACAGGGACATCACTCGACCCGATATCTATAAATTAATTTTATTGAATTGAAATCAGAATGAAATTGGCGTTCATCAACGGGCCTTTATGTGAATTTCTATAGCAGTCAACTTTAATTGACACAGGAAGAAAGAATTTTTCTCTTTATAATACATCGTTCACCTTATTCAAGTTTAAAATATTACTATACATAATACATATAAATTTCTAAAATTACTGTACATGCAGATTTGAACTGAATTTTGAATTCGAATCGCATAGCACGCAAATTACCGCGACAAATATGGCGGCGGGAATGAAGACTACGCCAATGCTGCACAAATTACTAGCCCACCTTGCAGCCCACCAGGTGTGGCAGACACGAGCCTCTGCAGCAGACGATGCAGGCGCTGCAATTCGTCTGCAGGTGCAGACGGAGGCGCTGCAGGCGAGGGGACTGCAGGAAGAGGCCAGAAAAGTACAAATAAATTGGAGGCAAACTGCAGTGGCTGGAGAGAATCTTGGCGCACTCAATAAACTACGCACACACAACATTCACTAACTCAACAACCCACGCTTCCCCTGTTGTTGTAATTGCCCATCCTGGTAGTGGCGACTAGGTAAGGGAGTGGGTGATAGGTCAGTTTTTCCGGGCACTTAATGACACTAGTAGTTCCACGACCATCACTGGCTCGCTGACCCGCCAGAACCATTTGATTGCATTACACAACACCCTGGACACTCCAGGTACTCATTTATCAACCAGAGTTGGATGAATGGCTGAGTTGACCTTGAGCTGAGCTTCCCGGAAAAACTTGTCCTCAGTGGGACTCGAACCCGAGAGACTGAGTCACCACTGCACCATCACAGCTTCCCTGTTCCCGCTCACCGGCGGCGGTAAGTTGGGCCAGCAGGGAGGGCGGCAGCAGCCCTGCAGCTTGTAGAGCCTCGACCAGCGGCCGGCCGTCCCTGCCCAACAAATGGCGACTCAAGTCTAAACTCAACGACAAGAATCTAGATTTGATTTGAAGAATTCAAACTCAACATAAGGTCTTGAGATCTTAGACACAAGTTTTTATGCTAAACATTTAGATTTACTGCCTCGCGTCTAGATGTGAGGACCTGATACTACAGAGGCGACCTGAGTCTAGTATGGGAAATTAGCATATAAATTTTCAGGAGTCTTACCTAGAAAGGAGACCAGAATATATGCAGATTTGAAACGATTCTACACTAAAAAAACTATTCTACATGGAAGGACTCCAATCTAGATTTGAAGACCTGATCCTCGATTAGACGAGCCGAGAGGTGTATAAAGAAACAATAGAATAGAATAGAATAGAAGTGTCGGCACTGAAGAAATAGGCCCATGGCCAGCTGCCTATTCTTGTACTTGTCGTGACTTGATTCACAAGGGAACCCTTTGGAACCCGATCTTTCCAAACCGACGATTGATTGAGACGAATAAATCAGTGTAAAGGATGCCATTCTATATCCGGAGCCAAGAGTTACCGGCGCAGCAGGAGTGCAGGCAGGAAGACGGTGCGGTAGTGAGACCTCCTGAAGGACGACATCTCGAGCAGCGTCCTGGGCAGGCGGTGTGACGTCCGGTAGCTCTCCACGGCCGCCGCCACCTCCTCCTCCGTCTGTAGGTGTGTGAAAGCATCAGCAACTATCAAATAAATATATTTAAATCTAATAACTAGAATAAATTAATAATAACGACAAAGGCGGCACATCAGCGTGATCGACAACTAGAAAGTAATTAAGATAATTAAGTAATACAATAATAACTAACTATTTCCATCTTCATCACGCATTTGCCTGTAAGGCAGAAGATGTTTTTGTGATTACGGCTGTGCTCCATTTACGGGTGGCATGTAAATATTAGCTTGTGCTGTTATTCAGTGGGTTCATTAGTAGTGGATTATCTACTTTATTGATAATAATATTATGTTAGAGATAATGGGCTCTCTGCTTTAATGGATAAAAGAGCCGTGTAGACGTTACAAAAAAAAAAAAAGGATTATCTCGTTATCTCACCGACACTCATGTGTGAATATTAACTTCATTTGCAATTAAACGTCATTAACATTAACTTCATTTCAAGAGGCTGACACACCTGACATGCTGACACACCTGACACGCTGTCTCTTATACACATCTAGATGTGTATAAGAGACAGGTGTTGTCCCTTTCCAGAAACTGCAACAGTTTGGTGCCAATTTTCCTGCCAACGTGCAAGTAATTGTCTACTGAGCCAATATTTGCTGTCTGCAAACTCTACCGGGTGGAATGAGCTATGGTTGAGCTCATGTCCCAACTTGGCAGCCCGATCTGCCAACTCGTTTCCATGAATCCCAGCATGGGCTTTCACCCACTGTAGCATCACTCGTCTGTCAGCATTGAGCCTCCTGAGCATCTCCCTGATGCGGTAGACAACAAGTGAGCTCCTGGTGTGGAGGCTCCTAGGTGACTGCAGGAGAAGTAGAGCTGAACTGCTGACACACCTGACATGCTGACACACCTGACATGCTGACACACCTGACACGCTGACACACCTGACATGCTGACACACCTGACATGCTGACACGCTGACACACCTGACACGCTGACACACCTGACACGCTGACACACCTGACACGCTGACCCAGCGCTGCTGTCACCCAGTTCCCTGAGCCTGACGCGTGCCAGCAGCTGATAGTCCCTGAGCAGGTGCTGGCAGCTGGGGGGGACGTGCAGCTGCTGGGTGACGTGGGTGCGCAGGTACAAAGGTAAGTCATGGGGCACGAGCTGACTCAGCACCTGCATCTGTGGGCAGGGGGCGGGTCAATGCTTCTTTGTTTAGAGGATGCCATGTCATCTTTATTTAGACTTTTTTAGAGGATGCCATGTCGTCCTAACTTAGGATATAGGGTGCCATGTCGTCTTTATTTAGACTTTTTTTAGAGGATGCCATGTCGTCTTAACTTAGACTAGAGGGTGCCATGTCGTCTTTATTTAAGGAAGCCATGTCGTCTTTATTTAAAGGTTGCCATGTAGTCTTTATTTAAAGGGTGCCATGTCGTTTTTACTAAGAGGATATCATGTCATCTTTATTTAGAGAATGCCATGTCTTTATTAAGAGGATGCTATGTCGTTTTTATTTAGAGGATGCTATGTCGTCTTTATTTAGATGGTGTCATCAGTCATGTCGTCTTTATTTAGAGGGTGCAATGTCGTCTTTATTCAGAGGATGCCATGTCGTCTTTATTCAGAGGGTGCCACGTCGACTGTATTTAGAAGGTGCCAGGTCGTCTTTATTCAGAGGATGCCATTTCGTCTTTATTTAAAGGGTGCCAGGTAGTCTTTATTTAGAGGATGCCATGTCGTCTTTATATAAAGGGTGCCATGATGTCTTTATTTAGAGGATGCCATGNCCATGTCGTCTTTATTAAGAGGATGCCATGTCGTCTTTATTTAGAGGATGCCACGTCGTTTTTATTTAAAGGATGATATGTCGTCGTTAATTAGAGGGTGCCATGTCGCCGTTAAGTAGAGGGTGCCATGTCGTCTATATTTAAAGAGTGTCATGTCGTCTTTATTTAAAGCGTTCTATGTCGTCTCTATTTAAAGGATGACATGTCTTTATTTAAAGGATGCCATGTCGTCTTTATTCAAAGGATGCCATGTCGTCTTTATTTAGAGGATGCCATGTCGTCTTTATTCAGAGGATGCCATGTTCTTTATTTAAAGGGTGCCATGTCGTCTTTATTTAGAGAATGCAATGTTGTATTTGTTTAGACTTTAGAGGGTATCATGTCGTCTTTGTTTAGACGTTAGAGGGTATCATGTCGTCTGTATTTAAAGGGTGGCATGTCGTCTTCATTCAAAGGGTGCCTTTTGTCTTTGTTTAGAGGATGCCATGTCGTCTTTATTTAAAGGGTGCCATGTCGTCTTTGTTTAGAAGATACCATTTCGTCTTTATTTAGAGGATGCCATGTCGTCTTTATTTGGGAGATGCCATGTCGTCTTTATTTAGATGATGCCCTGGCGTCTTTATTAAAAGGATGTCATGACGTCTTTATATAGAGGAGGCCATGTCGTCATTATTTAGAGGATGCCATGTCGTTTTTACTTAGAGGATATCATGTCGTCTTTAGTTAGAGGATGCCATGTCGTTTTTACTTGGAGGATATCATGTTGTCTTTATTTAGAGGATGCCATATCGTCTTTATTAGGAAGATGCTATGTCGTCTTTATTTAGGTATTTGGAACCTTTTCGGGGTGAAAGGGTCCATAGCCGATCAGTTCAGTGTGAAGATTAAATGTTTGTTGCGAAATTCTGTGCATTTAAAACATACAAGCACCCACCAGGAAAGTGAAGGTCCTGGTGGTGGTAGCGGGGGGAGAGGGGGCCGAGGCCCCGAAGGTTGAGGCCACCCAGTGGGGGTAGCTGGGGAAGACCTGTGTGGGCTCGTGGCACGCCTGCCTCGCCAGCAGCAGCCCCACCACACACAGATCCTGGTCCTCTGCCGCACAGCCCTTCTGCAGGTACTCTGAGCACAGCTCTGCACAGTGAGGGTACTCTGAGCACAGTTCTGCACAGTGAGGGTACTCTGAGCACAGCTCTGCACAATGCAGGTATTCTGAGCACAGCTCTGTACAGTGAGGGTACTCTGAGCACAGCTCTGCACAGTGAGGGTATTCTGAGCAAAGCTCTGCACAGTGAGGGTAGTCTGAGCAGTGAGCACAGCTCTGCAGAGTGCAGGTACTCTGAGCTCAGCTCTGCACAATGCAGGTACTCTGAGCACAGCTCTGCACAGTGAGGATAGTCTGATCAGTGAGCACAGCTCTGCAGAGTGCAGGTACTCTGAGCTCAGCTCTGCACAATGCAGGTACTCTGAGCACAGCTCTGCACAGTGCAGGTACTCTTAGCACAACTCTGTGGCCTAACTGGAGGAGGGAGCTGGCGTGGACGTGGTATACCTAGACTTTGCTAACGCTTTCGACAAAGTTGACCATGGGGTGCTCTTTAGAAAGCTGAGGCTGTTGGGGGTAGGAGGAAGCCTGTTAAGGTGGATCCACAACTTCCTTACAGATAGAGTACAAGCTGTCACAATTGGAAACTCGAAATCGAGAGAAGCGAAGGTGAAAAGCGGAGTCCCGCAGGGATCAGTGCTTGGACCGATCCTTTTCCTCATCCACATTGCCGATATTGACTCAGAAATCACACACACATCTACATCATCATTTGCGGACGATACAAGAGTACTGATGAAGATCACAGATGACCTAGACTGCGAGAGGTTACAGGATGACCTATCGTCAATCTACGATTTGGCCCTAGTGATCAATATGCAGTTCAACGGCACCATGTTCGAAGTAATGAGATACAGAGTCCGCACAAAGATCGGGATGCCACATCGCTATTTTGCATCAGATGGCACAGAAATTGAGGAGAAGCAACTAGTTCGAGATCTTGGAGTGTTGAGTACTGAAGCCACGTTCGATGCCCATATCGAGGAAATAGTAGCGCGCAGCCGGTAACGGATGGGGTGATTATGGCGGACATTTCGAACGAGAGAAGCAGCACCAAAGATTACACTCTTCAGAGCCCTCGTGCTCCCTAATCTTGAGTACTGCTGCCAGCTTTGGTCGCCACTCAAGGCGGGTGCGGTGCGGAAACTGGAGGCAGTACAGCGGACCTTCACGTACGGGATCAGCGGCATGAGGGAGCTGGACCTGAACTACTGGGGAAGGCTGAAACACCTGGGACTGTACTCACTGGAGAGAAGAAGGGAAAGGTATATCATACTGTACACTTTGAAGATGATAAACGGACTGGCTTCCAACTTTGAGAGTGAGACCACTAAAATATTACAACGAAAGAAGGGGGAGACTGTGCAGGATTCCCCCATCCAATAACCGAGCCGCGGCCAGAGTACAGACTCTTCGTGAGGGATCACTGTCCGTGGTAGGACCGAGGCTCTTTAATGTCTTGCCGAAAGCGCTGAGTGGAGGGGAGTTCACCCTTGCAGCATTCAAGAGACGACTGGACAAGTGGTTGAGAAAGATCCCGGATTGTCCAGTAATGGGAAACTACCCTCAGCAAGTGACAAGCAACAGCATCTTGCATCAGCGTGCCCAAATGAGGGCAAATAGACGGAACACGTCCAACATTACATCCGACAACGACTCGGAGACGGAGGACGACGAAGGCGGCGCATCAGCGTGACCGGGGACTAGGAAGTCCCGAACTCATCATGAGGTCATAAGGTCAAGGTCATAAGGTAAGGCTCTGCACAGTGCAGGTACTCTGAACACAGCTCTGCACACTGCAGATACTCTGAGCACAGCTCTGAACAGTGCAGATACTCTGAGCACAGCTCTGAACAGTGCAGATACTCTGAGCACAGCTCTGAACAGTGCAGATAATCTGAGCACAGCTCTGCACACTGCTCACTCTGTACTGATTATCACAGGAGAACACTCCCCACATCTACATGCACTAATAAATTATATCAGAATTATTCAAATGAGGAAATAGTTTAAATAAATAGCCCCAGCTGCAGTAGGGTTGGACGCTCATGTTACTCAGTCGACTGCGCCACAAGCAGCTATGCCCAAATAAGCCTGGCTTATCCTTGAGAAACAAATTTACGAAATAAATGCAATATAAAAGCAAAATCAGAGAACGATTATTGCACAAAAAAAAATTTATTCACAGTTATGGACTCTCATTGCAAACTTTGCGGTTTGAACAAAACAGAGGCCGTGCTATCAATAGACATAGAAGTACACGTAGCAACCAATTCTTTGTCTGTGGTTGGCGAGTTTAACATGAAAAGCCGTGACTGCTTCACTCGGAATTACGAACTCTTAATTACTTTTGATAGTGCAGTTTCAGGTCTTCAAGTTCGAAAATAACCAAGCTTTAAATATTAAAAATGTTTGATTTAGTATTAAAATTTTTTAATTAAGTATTAAAATAGTAATGTCTCCATACACGTCGCCCTGATAGTACTTATAAAAATTGTAAAAATGTCTAATTAAATAATGCAAATTTTTAATTAAGACATATTTACACAGTTCAATTAAGTATTAAAGATACCTAATTAAGTATTAAAAACACCTAATTATTAATTAAGTATTAAAAATGTCTCATTAGGTAATACAAGTATTTAATTAAGTACTACAACAGTCTAATAAAGAATTAGAACAGTCTAATTAAGTTTTAGGACAGTCTAATTAAGTATTAAGACAGTTTAGTCTATTAAAATATCTAATCAAATGATAAAAAATTCTTAAGTATATAAGAGTACGTGAGATCTGAACGGCAGCGTCGCTGGCAGCGTTGACAAGCACCGCAATGAGGGAGAGCACCACGCACCAGCTGACCTCCTGCTGGCGCACTACCTGGTCCACCAACTGCAGCACCTCCCCTGCCTCCAGCACCACGCACATCTGAATAGTAATATTATGATGCTTCTTCAACGATGCTATCAGGGAGGCTGTTCCACATGTCGGTGACTCGAAGCGAGAAGAAATGTTGTCGCATGGATGTGTTCCAACGCTGTTTTTTTAGTTATTATGATGCTAAAATACCAATATAATAATGCTTTAATAGTAATATTATAATGCTACAATACTAATATAATTATTTATATAATTATATTAACATAGGGATCAGCTTGATATCATAACATAGGGATCGCGATCCCACTGTAATTATATGACAATAATAATTTTATAATACATCAGTTCTAATATAATTCTTTGATGACCAGAATATATTATCTGTGTGGCCATATTTCATGGGCCATGGCTTTACTATAATGCATGTAACCTCACAATTAGTAATGGCTGCTTATCACGGATATCAAAGTTAAATATATGTAAAGCTGTAATGTGTAAAGGCAGTGATAGGCACAAAAAAATATATTGGAATTACGGCCTCACAGGACTTTTTGACGCATGTTAGAGAATGGTATCCTCAAGCGTGCATTCCAACTCACGCCAGGAGAGGCTCCTTCAAAGTACAAATGATTGCTGTTTGTACTTTAGGGTACAAATAAAGGTTATTTGTGCTTGGGGGACCAAATGATGGTTATTTGTACTTTGGGGCACAAATGACGGCTATTTGTACTTTAGGGTACAAATGATCGCTGTTTGTAAGTACTTAGCGGCACCAATGATGGCTACTTGTACTTTGGGGTACAAATGATGCTATTTCTACTATGGGGTAAAAATGAACGCTACGTATTTGTACCTTGGCGGTACATATGATTGCTATTTGTACCTTGTGGTACAAATGATGGTTATTTGTACTTTGGGGAACAAATGATCGCTGTTTGTACTTAGTGGTAGAAATGATGGCTATTTATACTTTGGGGTACAAAAGATTGCTATTAGTACTTTGGGGCACAAATGATTGCTATTTGTACTTAGGGGCACAAATGATTTTTAAGTGTACTTTGGAGTACAAATGATCGCTGTTTGTACTTTGGGGTACAAATGAACGCTATTTGTACCTTGGGGGTACATATGATAGCTGTTTCCTTCAGCTTACCGCAGGGAAATTCATTACACGCAGGCGCCCTTTGAACGCACCCTTCTGATATAATATTTAGGGAGGGGAATGGAGGGGATGAAGTGGTGGAGGGGCACTCACCCTGAGCATCACTCCACGCAGGAGGGGGTGGAGGGGCACTCACCCTGAGCATCACTCCACGGAGGAGGGGGTGGAGGGGCACTCACCCTAAGCATCACTCCACGGAGGAGGGGGTGGAGGGGCACTCACCCTAAGCATCACTCCACGGAGGAGGGGGTGGAGGGGCACTCACCCTCAGCATCACTCTACGGAGGAGGGGTGGAGGGGCACTCACCCTAAGCATCACACGGAGGAGGGGGTGGAGGGGCACTCACCCTGAGCATCACTCCACGGAGGAGGGTGTGGAGGGGCACTCACGCTCAGCATCAACCACGCATGAGGGGGTGGAGGGGCACTCACCCTGAGCATCACTCCACGCAGGAGGGGGTGGAGGGAGGAGGTGCGGTAGCGGGTCTGGTGGTGGAGGACGTACGACAACTGCAGCGCGGGGCAGCAAGTGAGCGCCTGACGTACGTGACAGCGACAGAACTCCCGTAGACTTTCGTGCCCAACCTGCGCACCATTCGTATTAATGCACGTTAGTGTGTTGTCATATTAATGGTGATATTTCACAGTGAATTTAGTAATAGTATTGTTGCATACCTAGTATTAGTGCACGTGTGGTGTCATATTAATGGTGATATTTCATTGCTAATTTAGTAATAATTTGCTGGAAATAATAACTTAGTATTGTAGTTTGGTAGGAGCAGCAGCAACTTTAGTTCAACAAGCCTCCTAGTCAGGATAAGATATACGTATATGGCTCCTGCAGCAGTAGATCACCTGGTCTACCCCCTGCAGCAGTAGATCACCTGGTCTACCTCCTGCAGCAGTAGATCACCTGGTCTACC